CATGTTAACCATCTAGTCAGTATTCAACATGCCATAGAATCACTTTTCAACTAACTATGGAAATATGCAGCTGGAAAAAGAAGTTAGTAGCTTACGGAATTATAGGCGGGATTTTTTTTTTTTTTTTTGGTGAGGAAGATCAGCCCTGAGCTAACATCCATGCCAATCCTCTTCTTTTTGCTGAGGAAGACCGGCTCTGAGCTAACATCTATTGCCAGTCCTCTTCCTTTTTCTCCCCAAAGCCCCAGTAGATAGTTGTATGTCATAGTTGCACATCCTTATAGTTGCCGCATGTGGGACACAGCCTCAGCATGGCCGGAGAAGCGGTGCGTTGGTGCGCGCCCGGGATCCGAACCTGAGCCACCGGTAGCGGAGCACGCACACTTAACCGCTAAGCCACGGGGCCGACCCTGGGATGTTTTGACTTATTGGAGAGCAGCATCCACTCAGTCGGCCCACTGTTCACTGTTATATGAACTCTGAATATTTTTAATTTGTCCTCAAGCCTAACATGACTGTATTTTGGCCAAGGCCTTTTGTTTCCTTTATGCCATCAGAAAGGCAGCACCAGGGGACAGTGCAAAGAGCCTGGAACCAGACAGGGTTTGGGTTCAAATCCTGGCTCTGGCTCTTAGTAGCTGTGTGACTTGGCAAAGATACTCAGCCTTCCAGTCTCAGGGCCCTGGTCGGTAAAATGGAGCCATTACAGGCAATAGGAGGCTTATAAGACGTGCTGAATCTCAGAGCCTGGCATCTGGTAAGCCTCCTCAAATGTTAGGCTCTTCCGTAATTGACCTGTTTTCCTTTCCATTCTGTCTAAGTCAGTGACACTTCCCTGAAAAGGTGAAAAGGACGAGAGCTTCCTGCCCAGGGAGAACTCCCAACCATACTCCTGGGTGTGCATCTCCTGTGCTTCCTGAATCTCCTGTTTTCCTACTTAACTCCCTATGCTCTTGCACGGATGCTCTCTCCCTCTGGTCTCTCCTGGAGTCTCTCCTGGGCTTGAGAATAGTCACTTGGTCTCTGGGGCCCTCATGCCCCCTACTTGTCCCCGGCAGCATTAGAGAGGTGCATCTCCTGTGGTTGCTGTGTATCTGGGAAGCTGCCCCAGGGCCTGGTAACTGCCCTACAGTTCAGACCCACAGGGTGTGGGCACCCAGGGAAAAAAGTGGGCTGGTGCAACCGTTGTGTTCATTGCCAGGGGCTGGCGGCTCCATTCTGGCGGCTCCATTCTTTCACTCAACAGGTTTATCAGCTCTGGGGTGGGCGGGTGGTGGTTCATGAACCTGTAGGAGTTCTCTTGGCTTTTCTGAGCGGATATTGAGGTTTAGGCACTCCAGCGATTGCTCCGAGTATAGTGCCTTATTACATGTAGGGTAAAGGCACCACTCAACCCTAGTGCAAGCCGACCCGCTGGAGTGGTTCTCTTTAGTTGGCAGAGGGAAGTGGGGGTGTGGGGGTGGGACTTGAGGCTGTGGTATTTCCCGCTATTTTCCCGCCAGTGCGGAAGCCTAACGATTTTACTGTCACGCTGAGTGGCTCCTTCTCAGCCCTGCCTGCCTTTTCCCATGCTTCTCTGGACACCTGCAGGCTCCTGCAGACTGGCACAGGGATTGAGCACCATGGCATGGCCGGCACCCTGCTTTAAGTCCTCACAAAAGCCCCATCAGTTTTCCACAGGAGGAAACTAAGGTACTGAGCAACGAAGTAACCAGTCAGGGTGCTCTTAGCTTCCATCTGGATCCCCCAAGCCCTCAGCACGCTGCCCTCGCCCAGCCTGCAGTGAGCCTTCCATAAATGTTTGTAGGGTGAATGAGTTACCCAGGGGTCCTGGGGAGGGAGTACTTGGTGCAGTTCCCGACATCGCCCTGTGTGCTTTGGGCCTGAAAGAAATTAGGTGGCACCATACTTAATAGAAACCAGGCAAAGGGCTTACAAGAGATGGCCTCTGCTGTGTTTTTGTCAGGGTTGGGGGCTTTGCTGAAAGGAGGTTTGGAGGCCTGAAGGGGCCTGGCCTGGGTTCCCAGGATTGGGTTCATGTGCCCTAAGGGGGTGGGTGAGTCTCTGTCTCTTGGGGGTGGGGGAGGGCTGCCAGGATGTCTTTTCTTTCATTGGTTGGGAAGCCCTGCCCTCCTCCCCCTCCTTCTCCTGGAACATTCCAGACATTCCAAACTGCCATTGCTTTCAGGATATGGATTAACATCCCAAACTGAGATTTGATTTCACCACCCCATCCCCTCCCCAACTCTTCCCTACCCTGAAAAGAAAGCCCCCAAAACTGAGAGTTTGAAGTAGGAGGAGGGTATTTTTGACCTTTGACCTGAGATTATACTGTGGGACTATCTTCAAAGAGCACTCCTCAAACTGAGTCCCTGCACAGGGGTTGCTTTACGTCCTTACTGGTTTGAACTCCCAAGTGGGCAGCCCCCACCTCCCTGCCCTCCATCCAGAAGAGTTAGCATGAGAGAGGTCCTCTCAGCTTGTGTGGCCCCTGTCATTGGTATTAAACTAGATCAGTATTCTCAGGAAGCATGATACCTCCAACTTTGTTCTTGTTTCTCAAGATTGCTTTGGCTATTCGAGGTTTTTTGTGGTTTCATAAAAATTTTAGGATTATTTGCTCTAGTTCTGTGAAAAATGCCACTGGTATTTTAATAGAGATTGCATTGAATCTGTAGATCGCTTTGGGTAGTATGGACATTTTAACGATATTAATTCTTTCAATCCATGAGCTTGGTACATCTTTCCATTTATTTGTGTCCTCTCCATTTCTTTCATGAATGTCTTAATAGTTTTCAGTATACAGGTCTTTCACCTCCTTTGTTAAATTTATTCCTAGGTATTTTATTCTTTTTGTTGTAATTGTAAACGGCATTGTTTTCTTAATTTCTCTTTCTGATGGTTTGTTGTTAGTGTAGAGAAACGTAACTGATTTCTGTATATTTATTTTGTATCTTGCAACTTTACTGAATTCATTTATTAGTTCTAATAGTTTTTTGGCAGAGTCTTTACGGTTTTCTATCTATAGTATCATGTCATCTGCAAATAGTGACAGTTTTACTTCTTCCTTCCCAGTTTGGATGCCCTATCTTTCTTTTTCTTGTCTGATTGCTGAAGCTAGGACTTCCAACACTGTTGAATAAGAGTGTCGAGAGCGGGCATCCTTGTGCTAGGTCAGTGTTCTCAGTCTTTCAATGGTGTAATCATCCCTTCCTGCTTCTCCAACAGTTTGACTTTCATTGTGAGAGTATCAGCATTTTCTCTGCCCATTTGGTCTCAAAATGAGTTATATGGGAAATTCCTCACAAGGCCAGATGCCATAGGGCTCCCTTTTGGCCAATGAATTGAGTCACAAGAAGGTGGCCTGGTGTGGGATCCAAGGACCTGGAACTGGACTTGTTTCTGATCCTTACTCTTTTGTCCTGCTATAGTCTGACCTCCTTGGATCAGGTTCATGAGCCAACCAAAGTAGATTGCCATAGACATAGATTCTCTCCAACATTTATCCTCTTTTTCCCCTAAGTTATTTTATCCCAGGAAGAGATTTCATTGATAAAGACTTTCCACACTCAGAGCTGCAGAGCTAGAAGGGATCTTTAAGACCTGTCTGTTCCATTTACAGCTGAAGACACCTGAGGTCACAGGGCTGAAACAAGGGAGCTGGCCCAGGACAGAGCCAAGATGGAAACACTTGCAGTTAGAGTTTAGCATCCCATCCTATGTGTTTTCAACACCCCTTTCCTCCAGCTTGGCAAGAGCTAACACGGGCCCCTTTGCATATAACATAGGAATACTGAGGCCTGAAGCTTAAGTGGCTTAGACAGATGAACATCGGATCAGAGGCAGTTTAAGGGCTAGAGATGGACTTTCTTGCTTCCTAGTCCAGTTTTCCCTCATGCCACTATAATTTGGTTAGATGATGTCCCTGAACTAAGAGATTGTGATCAAGGATATGCAAAGACATAAATGACAACTGACCAACACAGCTCAAGTCAATTGAAATGTTTTAAGCCCAGGGATTAGGGCATCGATCTCGGTCTTGAGCAATTAATTGCCGTGGGAGTCAAGCTTGAATCTGAAAGCCTTCCTCAGGGAAAACTACATTTTTAAGAGGCATATGAAAACTGGGAAGGAGAAGTAGTAGTAAAGTGTAGTAAAGTGGGAGGAAGGAAGGTGGTTGTAATGATGTTTGAGTTGTGTGTGTGTGTGAGTCACTCCCACCTTCATATGCACAGGTGCATCTATTACATTTATGTCCTTGCTCGCAAGCTCTTTCTAAGCTCTTTATAACACTATCTAACATTCACCTTATACCACCCTGTGAATAGGTATTATCCCTGTTTTACAAAGAAGGAAACTGAGCCTCAAAAAAGTTAAATAACCTTTTAAGGATCAGTGCTGTTAAGTGGAGCACAGGTTTAAATCTGTATCTGGAGAAAGCGCATAGTTGCTGCACTAGAATCCTGCTGTAATTTGTTTGCACATATGTGTCCCCTGATAAATGGTGAGCACCTTGAGGCCAGGCACTTGCTCTGTTTTGATTATCCCCCGTCCCCAGAGTTTAGAACAAAGTCTAGCATGAAGTAGGCACCAATTAAAGGTATTAGATTAATGAATAATGTCTTATGTGGCTTTGTATTCCTAATGCCGGAAACATAGTGGGTGGTATTAGATGATTACTGAATAAAAGAACTAGTGAGAAACCTAAGTAGAGAGATGAACAAAGTGGCTGTGATTTTTAGAGGATTATGTTACCCTCGTGCTTAGGGCATCTGATTTCGGTTTTCCTATCTGTGGTAGCACTGATGATAATTCTGCTCTCTAAAGTGAGGCACTCCTACACCAAATCTCCATTCCCAAAAGTTATCATTCTTAGACTCTAAGACTTTGGTGTTGAGAAGAAGGTAGGGAGATAAAGACTGGGACAAGGATTAAAAACTGCAGTCACAGGCCCCTAAAACATCCAGAGCTGTTGTTAATCCTGTTCCCTCTAATTTCAGGAGTCGGAAAATTCAGATCCGAAATATTCCACCCCAGCTTCGATGGGAAGTAAGTGATTGGGGAAACTCTCAATGGCAGGGGGTAGTGGAGACTGGAAAGTAAGTGTGAGTCAGCCTGAGTTGGCAGAGACGACTGGGGAGGTCCCCTGGTGGTTTGGGGCTAGGCCAGGGATATTAGTGCTGAGGGGAGGTTGGTTGGGTCTCATCCTTAACCCAAGACCACCAGTGTTAGCCCTTTATGCTCTTCCTATGGTGAAAGGCATCAGGGAGGTGGGAAGGGTGTTCTTTGAGCCCCAAATTTAGTGATGGCAGACGTTGATTTAGGGACCCAGGTCTGCTTCTAAAAAGCCCATTAAATGCCTTTTTGAGCTCAATTACATTTCTGTAAAGATACCATGGTAGGTCGCCAGCATTAGTACCCCAGAAGGAGCAAACTGAACAGGGGATAATTCTCAATCCCCACCTGAGGCTCTGCCTGTGCCCCAGTGCTCTGGGGTCAGGAGTGGCTGGCTTTGGGGTAATTCCTGGGATGCTCAGAGTAGCCTTCCACCCTTCTCCATGCTCCTAGGTTCTGGACAGCCTCCTGGCTCAGTATGGTACAGTAGAGAACTGCGAGCAAGGTAAGAGGGGGCAGAGGTGATGGGGTGGTGGTGGAGGGGTGGGTATTGGAGGAGTTTGGGGGGTCTGCTCTGCTTCGTTTTTCATTACCAAGTTTACCTCCTATACCAAAAGAGGACAGACAGACAGAATGTAGTATGGAGGGAGATACACTGGACGGGGGACCTGGACATGTGGTCCCAGCTTTGGCTCTGCTGCATATCTCTGGGACAGGCTTCTTCTCTATTCAGTGAGAGACTTGAACAAAGTCGCTCATTCCCAACATGAGGTCCCCAGGCTCCTAGGGGTCAACTGAGGTAGAAATAGAGGTCCCAGATTTTAGAAATAGCTTAAGAATGGAAACTATGCATTCAGCCTAAGTCTGCACCCCTTTTACTTTAAAAGCTTCATGAGTCATCATTTTTGGCTGGAATAATCAACTGGCTGTCTCTTTTTTGTAAGAAGCTCTGATTGTCTGCTACATGTCTTTGATAAATTAAAAAAAAAAAAGGAGAGGAGCTACTTAGTACATATTGATGGACAGGCAAAATCTCTCATGAGTGGGCCCCCAGAAGGAGAAATAATAAAGAATTCTAGATCATAAAAACTTTGCTGTGATTTTTGAGGTTTCTCTATTGCTTAAGATTATAAATTATTTTCAGAGGAAATGAGCTAAAATAAAATATGGCATGATTTTGATTGTCCATAAGGTAGAGCTTGGTCATCAGGTAGACAAGATACAGATAGAGTTTGTAGATCTTCAAGAAACCTAGCTAATCACCTAGTCAGAATTAAATATTCATCTCCAAATTCTTTGTGGAAAGGAGCAAGCTAAAAATCATAAATGGCTAAAATGTTTGCCTGCACAAAAGAAAGTGCTGAATCAAACAGAGTCTCTCCTGCTCTTAACCCTGTGGCTTCCCTTTTATCATAAATGCCAGGACACAACTGGACGCACTGATAACCATTTCCCAGTACTGCTCACAGCTTAGACTAACGACTAAGTTACTCCTGGACAAACAGAGCAAGAGTGAGCAGTGGCTTGCGAGCACATGCCAAGCCTCACTGCGGGGTCCAGCAGGAGTCAATACTAGTTTAAATCCAGGTCTCACTAGGGAGCTATTACACCCAACGTCTGGAGGGGAATATGTGGTACCTGGAGGGAACAGAATGGGAAACGTTTGATTTTGTTGGACAATAGAGAAGGTCTTCAAGTCCGCTCATATGTCACTTTCTAAGTGAGGTCCTTTCTGTCCACTCTATTTAAAACTGCACCCCTTACCACCACCTCCCCCTCTCTGATTTGTGTTTCTCCATAGCGCGCATCGCCTTCTGATATTCTATAGAATTTGCTTATTTTACTTGTCGTCCTCCCCTTCTAGAATGTAAGCTCCATGGAGGCAGAGGTTTTGTTGGTTTCATTCACTACTGTATTTCCATTTAACTGGAACATTATTCTTGCAGACTCTTCCTCACCACTGAGGTGAGAGCTGTACTGAAAGCCAGAAGAGTTAAGAGTGTGTGTTGAGGTTTTGTGGTCAAGTACCTTATCCTCAGTGTTGTGGGGGCAGAGGCTTGATTTTTTTCTCCACCCCAGGGTTGAGCAGGCCCAGAGGACCCAAAATCAAAAGACAATGATGTGCCCAGATTGCCTGGAATTCTAATGTTCAACCCAATCTCCTCCCTGTAGGAAAGAGTCTATGGTAATCAAATGAAAATCCGAAAGCTGCTCGGGGTTATGACCTTGATGGGATTAATGGCTGGTGTCATGAATTTACGATGGCCTGAATGTGTGCATTTCCACTGCCAAGATGTTTGGAATACTCAGTCAGGAAATCCTTCCCCTGGAAAACACGCAGACATATTCTTTGTTTCCCTCCCTAGACTCCACAGCAGCCACTCCTGTGAACCCATTTAGCTTGGTCATAATACACGTGTGTTTGGTTAATGTATCCTTCAGGATACTTAGGCCTCTAAAATGGATCTGGGTGTTCCCCAAGTCTCTTCAGCCATATCCTTACAGACCATTTCTTGGGATGTTTACTTCTATAGATTGCTAATCTCACTCAGTGTGTGTTGATTTTTAACTAGTTTAACTTTCCAAGGGTAAATTTTATCTCTCGGGCTGTTGTGTGTGTGGGCGCATGCGTGCTCACTGGGTGTTCGCCCTGCTGCCTAACTGCTGGTATGTTGACTACATCCTTTTGTATACCCAGCTCTCTTGGGGGCTGGGTAGGGAAATCAAAGGAAGACATAGAAAGGAAAATGCAGGAAGGTTAATTAGAATTTTCTAGGAGTTCTGGTGAAAGGGTCCTGAAGGGGGGGTAGTGCTCTGCCTTGTCATTCAAGTATATCGTAAGCTACAAGGAGTCAGCTAGATGCCTCCTTGACCTCACAACATGCAAGGATGAGCTTTAACACTCAGATTCATTGGTGGCCTCTCCAGATTTCACTGCTCTAACCCCGGCCTCTGTTTTGCTCCCCCAGTGAACACCGAGAGTGAGACGGCAGTGGTGAATGTCACCTATTCCAACCGGGAACAGACCAGGCAGTGAGTGGGCCGGAAAGTGGGGCTGGGAGGGTCTTTGTGGCATGTTGGGAGCTGGGCCCCCCTGATTCCTGACAGGTTTGGGTTCTAGGCAGACAGGAGTCCCCGCCTGGGTTCTGATATTGTTGTAGCCAACCCCAGACTGTTGTCCTTTGGTTCAGGGATCTCAAAGGTTCCTAAACTCACCAGGATTGATTGCAAGTACATTGAAGTGAGGGACCCAGAGACCTCCCAGGGAAGGTGGGTAATCCTCTGAGGAGGAAAGGTGGCCTCCTCATAGGTTTCTAGTTGCATGAGAGCTGTGGGGTCCGTTGCTGTGTTGATGGCGCCATCTAGTGATAGTGAGGAGAAACTGCAAGATTTAAAAAAAGGATTCGCTGATGTTATGATGTGGCGGGGCAGACATTTTATTGCAGCGATCGCCATGAGCCCAGTGTACACTTGATGGGTCCTTTCAGTCCCATCACACCCAGTTTCTAGCTCCTTCGCCCCTTGGTTGAGCAATTACACTTTTCACCCACCAGTACTGACAAACCATACACTTTGTGCATTTACTCAGTTACATCTGTATCTGACCCTGTTAAAGGCCTTTTGCCACGTTTTGCTTTTGATGGTCTTCTTGCTTCTTCAGTGTGCTGCCTCTAGCCCTCTGTTTCCTCCAGCTTAGTGGTACATTGTAAAATCCCGTCACTTCCTCAAATACCATTTTCTTTTAGATGGCTCCTGGGCTCAGAATTTTCTGGAGGCTCTTACTGCCCCATGTGGCCAATCCATGGTCTTGAGCCTGGCTTTAAAGATTGTGTCAACACTTGCTCACTCCCCACTACCTGTTGTTGCCTTGTTAACATTTCTAACCAGCGTCAGCTTTGGGAATGTGTGGGGCTTGCCCCCTTCCTTCAGTGTTATTCAGCCTCGTTTTGCAGACATCCCAGATATACTTAAACTCCTGCTTCCAAGTGGTAAGCAAGCCGTTCTGCCTCCAACTCTTCCTTCTTTTCCACGGAGTTTCCTTAAACATGAAAGGTCCCAGACTGAACAAGTAAAGACAAATCTCTTGATTTATCATGTTTTTATTTATTACATTTATTCATTGATCATGAGTCACATGTGATTCTCATGTGATTCTCATATGACTCCTATATGATAGGTAGTTTTGCCTAAATTTTTTTTTTTTTTTTGTGAGGAGGATCAGCCCTGAACTAACAACCATGGCAATCCTCCTCTTTTTGCTGAGGAAGACCGGCTCTGAGCTAACATCTATTGCCAATCCTCCTGCTCGCCCCCCCACCCCCCCCGCCCCCACAAAGCCCCAGTAGATAGTTGTATGTCATAGTTGCACATCCTTCTAGTTGCTGGATGTGGGACGCGGCCTCAGCATGGCCAGAGAAGTGGTGCGTCAGTGCGCGCCTGGGATCTGAACCCGGGCCGCCAGTAGCGGAGTGCGCGCATTTAGCCGCTAAGCCACGGGGCTGGCCCAAGTGTTGCCTAAAATTAATAAGCTGATCCCAAAACTCAATAGAAATAACTTAGTTATGTTTCCCTTTGGTGTCTTATGCCATTTAAACTGGGAGGTTCTCTAAGGTGGAGGTGGGAGTCGGGGGCAGGTGGTCATCTCCCTTTCTTTAGTTGTTCCATGCTGTGACCCAGTAGAGTGCTTTACACCTGGAGGACATTTGTTGTGATTGATATGGATTGGAGTAACCAGTAGATTCTCCCTCTGTCCCCAGAGCCATCATGAAGCTGAACGGCCACCAGCTAGAGAACCACGCCTTGAAGGTCTCCTACATTCCTGATGAGCAGATAGCACAGGGTCCTGAGAATGGGCGCCGAGGAGGCTTTGGCTCTCGAGGTCAGCCCCGCCAGGGCTCGCCTGTGGCAGCAGGAGCCCCAGCCAAGCAGCAACAAGTGGACATACCCTTGCGGCTCCTGGTGCCCACCCAGTATGTGGGTGCCATCATTGGCAAGGAGGGCGCCACCATCCGCAATATCACAAAACAGACCCAGTCCAAGTGAGTCTTGGCTGTTGGGGAATGGAGGCGGGTGCTAGGAAACGGTGGTTGGTCTCTGGGGAGGTTGCGTGCTTCCTGGAAGCACACTGGGGGGCATCAACATTTACCTCTTAAGAAATGTTGGCTAGGATGTGTTCCTTTCTCTTTTCATTCAGGGGTCACTGCTTCCAATCCCAGCCTCGTAGGTCGGGGCAGGCAGGTGGGAAGGTGGAATGGGCCTGGTGCCATTTGGTGGCAGTTCCTGGGCTGTTGTTAGTAAGAAGGGCTCTGTAATTTCTCATAGAAAGTCTCATCAAGCAAACCTACTCTTGGTGAGTCAGCCACTCCTCAGTTCTCTGCGATTTCAGCACTGCTTATTGGTGTCATCAGGGCTGGCCAGCCAGGCCAAGGTCAGGGCCCTCAGTAGTAGGTCACAGTTCCGCCCCATCTCCCATTCCACCACAACCGCGCCTCTTCTCTAATCCTTACAGCTGATCAGTGTACTCTGTGCAAAAGAACAGCTCACATTATGTCCTTAGTCATAATAAATCCTATATAACTTACTTTTAATTCGGGAGAACATGCCTTCCCTTTACAGGTGTTTTAAGGCAGAAACCCAGAATTCAAGGGGAAATGCAGCTTAAGAGTTCTGGGCTGTTGATCCCCACTGCTGTATTCCTGTGATAGACGCCGTCACTCCACCTGCCACCTCCTGACAGAGGCAGGATCCAGAGCACCAGGCTGGTCATGTGTCCATGGCCCTTTCTCTCTGCCCTTCCTAGTTCTGCACTTGATCATCTTGTTCCAAGAAGAGCAGGCCCTATGCCTTTGGTTGAGGAGAGGTGGGGGAGCCCGAAGAAGACCCGGGGGACAACTAACTGTCGTGTCCTTGTGGTCCTCAGGATAGACGTGCACAGGAAGGAGAATGCAGGTGCTGCGGAGAAGGCCATCAGCGTTCACTCGACCCCCGAGGGCTGCTCCTCCGCCTGTAAGATGATCTTGGAGATTATGCATAAGGAGGCAAAGGACACCAAAACGTAAGGCTTCAACTGTTCTTGGAATGTGGGGACTACCACCTCACCCACTCCAATACACACTTTATTAGTAAGAATACAGAGATGTGGGCGATACAGTTAGAAATTGTACAGAAGGATATAAACTGAGAAATGAAATCCTCCTTCCCGCAAGTAACACCTTGTATATCCTCCTAGAAATTCTGTGCACTCAAAAGTGTAGGGGTGTGTGTGCACGTGTACACATGTATATATGTGCACATGTGTGTTTTAGCATAAATAGGATCATAATGAACATACTGTTCTGTGGTTTGCTTTTTTCACTTTCATGCCTCAGTACATATTGACCCACCTCTTTCTTTTTATAGCTGCATAGAATTCTGTAGTATGGCTATTTTAAAGAATACAGTTAGGTGAGTTTTAACATGCACATACCTGTGGAACCGTCACCACACTGAAGATAACGAACATATCCATCACCCTCATTGCACTTGTGCCCCTTGGCAACCTGTCCCTACTTCCCCATTTCTCTATCCTTAGGCAACGATCGGTCTGCTGATTTTTATAACCTTTTCAAATGCAATTTTGTCCTGTGGTTTGTCCTGGAAGCCCCACATCTGGGGTGGCGTGACAGCTGAGTCTCAGCATGGCCCGCTACTTAAGGAGATCTTGTCCCTCATTTCCTCCCCTGTCTTCCGAAGGGCTGACGAGGTTCCCCTGAAGATCCTGGCCCATAATAACTTCGTGGGGCGGCTCATTGGCAAGGAAGGGCGCAACCTGAAGAAGGTGGAGCAGGACACGGAGACGAAAATCACCATCTCCTCGTAAGGCTCTCTTCTGTTTCTCTCTTTATGAATGAGATGCCTGGGAGCCCAGGGTTGGCAGTATTTCATTATGGAGCCTTAATACTTGCGCCTTAAGTTGGATGCAGTTTCTGCCTATTGGAGAAGACTAAAGAAGTGGTAAAGGGCATTTGTTTCTATAAGGGTTGGAGCTCTCCCATCACCACTGCCATGTGGGCTGGAGGGCTGTGGTTAGGGTGCTGCCTCCTCAGTCCTCTGCCCCGCACATCATACCTCAGGTGCTCTGCATCTCGAGGAGGGAGCCTGCAGCTAGGGACCAGGGCTTCAGGGGTGGGCGGACCTAGGTCCTTTTGGCATATGCTCTGTCTGTGTGGAGGCCTGCCTCTTTAGGAGGAAGTGAAGTTAAGAGGGTGGATTAGCTCCTCTGGGAGCACCTTGCTTCTTCATTTCATCAGAGACTTGCTGGTGGGCTCTGTTCCAGAAAGGCACAGGAAATGGATTGCCTTGAAACACTGGGGAAACTTCCAGGCATGAGCATCTTTCTTGCTTTACCAGTGATGAAAACCTGTCTGTGATTGGATTCCTCGCAAATCGAGGGGTTTCAGTTGGGTGTTCTCATCTCCCTGCACCTCACTCTCTACCCTGGTTACAAAGCAAAGCCCAGATGCACAGAGTTTTGGCCAAAAGTTAAACAGCCTGCAGAAATGGTGGAGATGTGACTCATCTCCGGCCTGGCCTGGCTCTGTTTTATCTGTGGAAGAGTGACGCTGCTCTGCTCTCCTGCCAGGCTGCAGGACCTCACCCTCTATAACCCCGAGAGGACCATCACTGTGAAGGGGGCCATCGAGAACTGCTGCAGGGCCGAGCAGGAGATCATGAAGAAAGTTCGGGAGGCCTATGAGAATGACGTGGCTGCCATGAGTGTGAGTGCTGGGCACCTCTCCCCACCCTCTTCTGAGCTGAGCCGCGGCAGGAGTGGGTCTTCCCGCTGAGGTGGGCATGCCTTGCCTTGTGGCCTTGGAGCATTTACTTTGGTTTTTGGACCTCGATTCATGAGAAAAAGGCTTTTAAATTTAGTTGATAGGGCTCATCTGATTCCTGGGCTAGGAGTGGGGTTCTAACCTTGGGCTTCAAGGTCTGCGATCCTTCTATAATTATGTGTAAAACTGGTGTTGATGGCTTTAGTGGGGAGAAGGTCCATAATTTTCACCTGGTTTTCAAAGGGGAGTGAAGATGTAGGGTACATGACCACAAAGGAGAGTCCTAAAAGTCAAACGGAGCTCTGTCCCTGCCACTCTTCACATAGGCACGTTACAGTGTGTGGCTGAGTCCGTCGTCTCTCTCTTCAGAGAGGAGGGACTTCTGAGGGTACAAGACTGGATGGCTCTTCTGGTTGGAGTTGCTGGTTCTTAGTCCAGTGAGAGCAGCACATCGCTCACAACTCCACACCCTGAGTGTGTATGTGAGTGTGTGTGAAAACCAAAAGCTCAGGCAGGTGTTTGTGTAAAAGCATGTCATTCTCCTGTTTTTGGCCCACTCTCTGGGGGTCTTTTCCCTCTTGGTTCAGCCAGCGCCACACACAAGGGACTGGCAGGCCCCCTCAGAATGAGCTGACCTCCTCCTCTCCTTCCTTCTCCAGCTGCAGTCTCATCTCATCCCCGGCCTGAACTTGGCTGCGGTAGGTCTCTTCCCAGCCTCATCTAGTGCAGTCCCACCACCTCCCAGCAGCGTCACCGGAGCTGCTCCCTACAGCTCCTTCATGGTAGGTGCAAGCTCTTGTTACATCTATGGCCTTCCTTAGAGGGTCCTGCTCCTGGTGGGAGCCCGATGCTTGGGAATTTGCAGGGAGAGGGAAGGGAGGTCTGGGGATGCTGCTCTGCATTGCTCCCAGCCGCTGGTAACACTTCAGAAGGTTAACCCCGTGGAGGGCAGCCTCGCATGCTGCCGGGAATACTGGCAGCACTCTTCCTCTTCCCTCCTCTTCTTCCTCTCGTCCGGCTTCTTCCCTTTATCCCTGCTGGGCATAGGGACAGCCAAAGAGTGTGTAGCCCAGGTTGGCTCCTGGGTGTCTGCACCTCTTCCTTCTTGAGGATGCATGGCAGGGTCGTGGAGGGGCTTCCGGGCTGGGCCCCTTGGCCCATGCTAATAACGCGCCCTGTCTTGACAGCAGGCTCCGGAGCAGGAGATGGTGCAAGTCTTTATTCCTGCCCAGGCGGTGGGCGCCATCATTGGCAAGAAGGGGCAGCACATCAAACAGCTCTCCCGTTTCGCCAGCGCCTCCATCAAGGTGATCTGCACTGTCTCCTTCCAGGTCCCGGGGTGGAGGAGTGCTCTGCTCCCATCACCTGCTACCTTTGTTCCCAGACGCTCCATCTGGGTGGTGTTGGGGCCTTTTCCCTGTGGAATCGCAGTCCCCTTAGTTTTGACCTTACTCCGTCCTCCCCGGAATGCCTTCCATGCTTCTGGATTTTCAGGCCAGGGAGGAGGCGGGATTGTAGCCTAGAAGGAGCTTAGGTTCTGGCACTGACTGACTTTGTTTCACATCCCAGCCCCTAAACCGTGTGACCTGAGCCCCAGTCTCCTCATCAGGACGGTGGTCATCATAACACAAGTTTAAATCAACATTTGTTTCAGTGGCTGCGTTTGCTGCCCTCCCCGCATTCCCGCATTGTCATCTGTCTTGTCTGTGCCCCTCTCTACACTGAAACCTCCCCCAAGACTGGGACTGGGGAGAGGTGGGATGGGGAGCCCTTCTTAGAAAATGTCACTGAAACACATCCACCCATGCCCTCAAAACAGTTTTGGTGCAGGGGCGGTGACATTGGGGTTCGGGATCTTTGTTCTTCCCTCCCCTAGTCCTTAGAAGTGGGTAGTAGAAGTGGGGTGGTGGGAGGGAACTGGAGGAGGTAGAGATAGCGGGCACCTCTTTGACCAGCTATTTGCTTTGTAGATTGCTCCTCCCGAAACTCCCGACTCCAAAGTTCGTATGGTCATCATCACTGGACCCCCAGAAGCCCAATTCAAGGTTCTCATCTTTATTGTTTTTCCAAGCTGGACACGGGGAATCGAGTTCGGGTGGGAGTACAAATCCGTCCACGTTTGTAAGCTTCCCTGCAGGTTATAGGGCTGCATGGCTGCTTTTAGACTCGCATCGAGCTTCATTTCTGTTGACTTCTCCTTCCTTACTTCCTGAGGTCAACAGGAGTATGGGAAAGAAGGAGGTCTGGGGTTTCTGCCCTGCACTCTGCCTTAGTTACTAAGGAAGGCCTTCGATGCCAAATTCTCTTTTTTCTTTTATGTCCCTACTACATCCCTGTGTTCTTGAACTTCTGGTCAGACAGCCAAAGAGCTAATGGTTAACTTCGCGTGACAGGGGTGGAGAACAGGGACAGCTCTAGGTTCTGGAGAGTGTCCGACAGCCTGCCCTCTGAGTGACTGATCAGTCACCACTCGGGCAGGGCCTTGAGTTGCTAGCCACTGCCTTGTCCAAATACATGCAGTCATCCCAGACCCCACAGGTCTGGTCTGTAGCTTGTGAATTCTGTTCCTGTGGGAAGTGTCTATTTAGTTACTCTACTCAGGTTCTGCAACATTACGAATAAGAGAAGGGACATGGATGGGTCAGTGCTGTTGGCCTTTCCCTGTCACCTGGCCTAGATGGTTGACCCACCCCTAGGTGGTGGGCATGTGGGCCAGAAGAGGCTTGGGTAGAGCCTGGGGGCTACTCTTCGTGTTTACCACACTTCCCTTTTGTCACATATATGTGTGGCCCCCCTAATTAACATTGACTTCCTCTTCTCAGGCTCAGGGAAGAATTTACGGAAAACTCAAGGAGGAGAACTTCTTTGGTCCCAAGGAGGAGGTAAAGCTGGAGACCCACATCCGTGTGCCAGCATCAGCAGCCGGCCGGGTCATTGGCAAAGGTGGCAAAACGGTGAGCCTTGAGGGCCAGGTTGAAAGTTCTGGACCTTAGTCCCCAAACCCAACAGCTCTACCCTGGCCTTCTGCTCCCCTGCCCTGCTCAACCTTAGGACTTGTGATTTGCCCATTTATTGATTCTGCTCCCCAAGCTCAGCTCCTGACTCCTCCACTTTCTACCTGCTAGTTGCCTGCCTCTTGCCTCTCCCTCCAATCCCACTCATGCTTTCTGGATGGCACCCTGAGCTCCTCTCTGCCCATCCTGCCCCCAGGTGAATGAGTTGCAGAATTTGACAGCAGCTGAGGTGGTGGTGCCAAGAGACCAGACCCCTGATGAGAACGACCAGGTCATCGTCAAGATCATTGGGCATTTCTATGCCAGCCAGGTACACATGGCACTCCCCCGTCACAGGAGGGTGGCAGGAGCCCAGGGATCAGAGAAGCAGGACTCCAGAGATTGACCTTCCTGCCTTGACGAGGCCTGTGGAAGCCTCTGGGCTGGGTTATTCTTCTCTTCTAGGTGTTAGGAGTATGACATGTAGATGCTTTATTCTCTCTTAAGACTCTCTTGACTTAACAACTTTCATGTGTAGTATATGTCATATAAAATTTTATAAATTATATGTTATACATTGTATATTAATGGTCTTTCCTCTTGTCTAACCTTAAGTCCTTCCCTAAGCCCTTATTGCACTGGATAAGAAAAGAAATTTGTATTATCCGTGACCCAGTCTTCTTCAGGGAATAATAATAACAACAGTAATAAGATTACCCTAGATTACCTTTTTCCAGTGCAGTCCCTTCGCCTTTCCCAGAATGACTGCTGCATCCCTGGTTCTGGTTCTTCCACCCTCCCATTCCCATTCCAGAACTCACCATCCCTGCACTGCCTCCAATGAGCCAGTCAGCACTGCCCGTCATTGGGTCTGACTCCAGAGCCTGGAAAGGAGTGTGAATATCAGGTTCACATTTTCTCAAGCTCAACAAGTCAGAGGAAGGATGATTGAAAGCTCATGGGGTTATTCTAAAATCCTCTTGTTGGAACTGGAAGGGACGTGGAGACTGTTGGACACAACCGCTTCCATTCACAGAGGATAAGCATGTCACAGCAGGCTTGTGGCCTGTCTGGCTGCTGAAGCAATCAAGGGCAAAACAGGAACCCAGCACCCCGGCTCTGGGCTGCCAGTGTAGTGTGGCTGCGCAGCATCAAGAACACGGATTTTGGAGCGAGAGGCTTTGGGCTCAAACCCCACATGGTCTTTCTGCTGTGTGACCTTGGATAAGCAACTTTGACAATCCTTTGAGAAGCATTAATAAGAGCCACAATAATATCTTAGATTTATGGGTGTTTCTGATAAACACCAAGCACTATTCTATGTGGTTTATATATTTTAACCCATTTAATCCCCACAACAACCTCAGTTTACAAATGAGGTTTAAGAGGGTAAACGATATAATCAAGGATGCACAGACCCAGGGTGTATTAAATACCGAAGTGGGGAAAATATTTGTTGGTTAGAATGAGAATTAAGTGAAAAACTATGTAAAACATCAAGCACAGGGCTGACAGGAACTAATAGAAATATTGATTCCACATTCTTTCCCCAACCTAGACCAACTTTCTTTTTAACCAAGCACTCAGTTTATGGAAAGGGAGACATTCTGGTAAATATCAATCAAGTGAATCACATTTTGCTGTTTATTTCTGTTATAAACCTTTGTTCTTAGGGAAGAAACTTTTTAATAAGGAAAGAGTAAAGATACCGATCCTTTGGTATTTTGTTGACTTTCACAGTGGAGATTTATTTCACTGCTGTTTTTTTAGTTAATCCATCTTGGGGCATTTCACCCCCTTTTCTGGGGATGTTTGCATGCGTAGTAGAGTTGTGATTTGTGATGAGGTCTCCTAATTTATGACCCTCTGACAACATATACTCCTGGAAACTAGAGTTCCATTTTGGGTCCAGTAACATGTGTGTCAACTTTGTTGATTTTTAAACTTTGTCAAGTTTTCAGTTCTGAATGAGTTCATACTACTATTTCTCCTGCTTTCCCCCCTCCCCCACTTGCTGTATTATCCAGTAATCCTCAGGGGTCACTTAGACGCAGAGAACCTTAAGGTCACTCTAACCCTCAGTCCCATGTGTCCTGTTCTGTTTATTGCTGGTGTCTGGATCCTGATGGCCCCTCTCCCCGTGTCAGGCTATCTCCATGCCTTTGGAGGTCCTCACTCCCTCCCTCTTGCCTGTTCTCTCTGCAGATGGCTCAGCGGAAAATCCGAGACATCCTGGCCCAAGTTAAACAGCTGCACCAAAAGGGACAAAGTAACCAGGCCCAGGCGCGGAGGAAGTGACCAGCCCCTTTCCATCACGTCGACTCAAGGACCATGGGCTGAAGTCGAGAGCGCGTTCTCCCCAGCAGGCCTGAGAATGAGTGGGAATCAGGGACCCTCGGGCTGGGATGGAGATCAGGTTTGCCCACTTGCTTGAGAATGATGTTCCAGTGAGGAACCCTGATCTCTTGGCCCCAAACACCAAACCAATTGGCCCAAGACTGCCCACCCCTCAGGGTGTCACCATGGAAGTTCTAGCACAGGGTGCTTTTAAACGTGGATTGTTTAAGTTCTCCAGGTCCCACCGAGAGGGTGGGTCAGACCCCAGTGGGAAGAGAAATAAAATTTCCTTCAGGTTTTTAAAACGTGCAGAGGGGTGTTTTAGTCAGCCTCAAAGGATGGTTTGCTTCTTGACCCTAAAATCCTTCCAGCCTTCTATGACTTGGTTTATTGATTAAAATACCTCTATTCTTGTGTCCTGACATAGCCTCTTCCTATATTCACACTAATTATTTTATCTTTACTGCTACCAGAAAAGGTGGGAACCAATGCATTGCTTTGCTTACATTATTGACTCAAAGGGAGAAGACACATCTGCATCTGTAGTTTAATTCCATTTCCTCCCTAACCAAACAATAGGAACAGCAAGGAGTGAAGAATGGGAGAGAATGGGGAGAAAGATGATTAAATATATAGTAATCCACGTTTAAAAGGAGTGCCCTTGTGGCTGATCTATTCCAGATCACCATGATGAAAAATTGGAACAATTAAAATTTCCCCCACCCTGCTGGGGCCTCCCCACCCCACTCATGTCCCTCTAACTGTATAGGTCCCATATCATGTCCAGGTGCACGTGGGTGGTACTGAATGCTCAGCGGGATAGGGGCCAACCACTGTTCTGTCCCTGATTCCCACCATTCTCAGGCAGATTTTATATTTTTTTAAAGTCTATTTTAATGATTGGATATGAGCACTGGGAAGGGGACACTAACTCCCCTTGATAAAGTCTCAGTTCCATGGAGGACTTGAGTGGCCCCAAAGGCTGCCACTGTGCCCTCACCCCAGCCCATGTGCTCTCATAAGGGCTGGTTCCCAGAGGCAGGGGTTGCGGGGCACTCCCCCCCACGGCACTGTTCCCTTGGTGGTGGTGGGATGTGGAACCCAACCCTGAGCTCCCGATAAAGCTAAAGTCCATCATCTGGCATATATTATGAATAGTCAGTAAATTGGAGAGTATTTGCTTCTGTTTTTATCCTAGAGGCATATGTAACTGATGGCTCCTGCCTCCGTGAATCATGGGCATGATGAAAGATGTGCCTAAAAAACAAAATTCAAAATACCAGCAGCCTTATGCACAAAGGGGTAAATAAGCTTAATTTATTAATTTACCAGGCTCAATAAGATCCCGTTTGCAGTCCAGCCCTTGTGGAAGACAGCAGCCATCAGTTAAATGAGGTTAGGCCTCCCCTCCTAATATACTGATTGTCAATGCATATTAGCCAGGTGGTGCAGTTTAGCTGCCTTGGACAATGCTATCAAGTGTGCTGGGAAGGGAGGAAGGCTTCTCTGCATGTGGAAAAGCCCATGCGTGGAGTCCTCTCCTTCCGACATTGCAACAACAGTGACAACAAGACAACCGTGATATGTGGGCGGAGTCAGTCAGGTAATGCTGTGCGCGAAGTAAACTACCTCAAGGTATGGAGTTACCTCAGCAATTACTTTCCTTTTTGTTCCCCCCACCTCTTTTTTTTTTTTTTAATCTTTTTTTCTTTGCGGCTTGCTGATATTTTATATAAAAAAGAAAAGCAAAGCAAAAGAGAAGCTGATAGTCTTGAATATTTTATTTTTTTAATGAAAAGAAAAAAATGAGAAAGTTATGTTTCATAATTTCTTACAACATGAGCCAGTGTAACCCTTTAGGAACTCTCTATGGAGAACAGGCCCTGTGGGAAAAGCGGGCGGGGGCTGGCTCCTTGGGAGGACACTGGGGCTGGGAGGGAGGCCTAAGTTGGAGAGAGCCCAGGGGTAGTGAGGCTCTGCTCTCTGACTTCCAGATTCCTAAGCCGCTGGCCTCTCCTGGATAGTCCTGCCTGATGGGATTCAGAGGCCACGCAGAGCTGTGGGCCCCCGATGACAAAACACCAGTCTCCAACAACCGGCCGTGGTCCCCTCTCTCCCCCTTTGGTTGAAGGGCACCCCAGCCGGATTTTCCCACCAGTGGTGCTGTTGAGATATTTAAAAATATTGCCTCCGTTTTATCGAGGAGAGAAATAATAACTAAAAAAAATATACCCTTTAAAAAAAAGTCTATACTTCTCTGCCTAAAAATTTGGGAGCCAAGATTCTGTTGGTGGAAGAGACACAGCCACCCTCTCACCCTCAGAGAGGTCCACCCGGTTTGTCATTGCAATGCTTTTCATTTGTTGTTATTGCTGTTTCATTTCAGTCCCATCTTGCTGTTCTTCTTGGTCTGTATCAATAGACCAGGGGCAAATGGGTACACAGATAACTGCCCCTCTCATCTCCCTCTGTTGTTTAGATTGATCTGATTGATTCTAAGAGTGGACCCAAACTTAGGGAATTCTTGATTTAGGGTGGTGGGTGGCAAGGAGGGGCAGGGGATACAGGAACGTGATTGGGGACAGGTTCCTGCCTCGTTCATGTCTTACCGCTTTCTCGCCATGACGTTCCTTGATAGCCCCCAGAACTGTCTACCCAGGAGAGAGGAGGAAGCAGGAAAGCATTTGGGGGTCATATCAGGCCAGTATAATGAAGCTTCCCACCTGTTCTAACCACAAAAAAGGGTCTCCCAACTCCCATCTCTGGCTCTATATGCTTTATCCCAAAATGAAGCAGGTGACATTCAGACATCGGCCGTTTAGTGATTAAAGGCGAATTTCCAGCAGCAAGCATGCTTTGATATCTGGTTCAAACTACCATCAGAAAAGAAAAAAATATCCCACAGTACCTGAAATGTGATTGTTGCAGTGTTCAGTTTCCTCGGGATCGTGCTCCCTTCACACCTTAAGCCCACATCCTTTTCCTTTGGCGGATTCAGCTCCCCGTAGAGACCAGGAAGTGTGGCGAGGGCCAGTCAGACTTGGGTTAGGCATAGCTCCTCTCATTGCTGATACTTGCCCAGCAGGAAAATTGTGAAAGTTACACTATCAGAAAGCAAGAGGAATATGGTGTGGTGGGTAAAGTTTAGCAGGATAAAGGGCCTGTCTTGGTAGATCTGCCTTTGGCCCCTAGGCTGGGTCTTGGGGCAGTTCCCTGCCCTCCTGCCCATCACCTCCATTTCCCCATCCTTGGCGAGATAACAAGCTAACTGAAAAGCACTTGGGAGATTTGGATGATCTGAGAAAAGCGACTTTTAAAAAACCACTTCTGTGCTCTAAGATATATATGTGTGTGTGTGCTACATATATATTTTTAAGAAAGGACCATCTCTTTAGGATATATTTTTGAATTCTGTGGAACACATGAAAAACCAAAATGGTTTGACTCACCGACTTTGAAGCTGCATCTGACAGTTACACCCCAATGGCTTTATCCCCTCTGGGTCTGGTTGCCTTTTGTAGTTTGGGCTGTGGACTCGGCTCCTAGGAGGGGTCTGGGTAGGAGAGAGCCAGGTTTAGGGACAGGGAGTTGTGTCACCTTCTGCCCCTTCCTCTCTTCCTCCCAGTCCTTCTCGGTCTTTTCCTTTCCCTTGAGCTCTCCACTTCTGGGGCAGTTGGGAGCTATTCGCTTAGTTATGCCTCACTATTGGCAGAAAAGACCCCACGTAAAACCCAGAGAACACTGGAGGGAACACTCCAGTTGGTTCTATGTGTCCGTTTTCCTCTGTGCCAAAGACAGACAGAGGCTGAGAAGAGGCCGTTTCTGAATCAAGCAATAGCCATCTTTCGACATATACCTGGGCTATCTGAGAGGGGAAGGGCTCCTGGAAACATTGTGAGCTAAAGACATGTCCCTTCCCTTCTGAGGCTCCTGGGGGACATGGGGGTGGTATGTGCCAAGGGGTAGGGAGCTGAGAAGGGGGTCCAGTGGCTTCTGGTTGCACTTTGGGGAAGGAGGGGAAGTTTGGGGCTCCTCCACGTGGGACTGCTCTCTGTCCCCTGCCCCCACTGCAGAGACAGCACGGAGGGTTCCCTTCAGGCCTGGCAGACTGGCTTTGAGGAGGGGCCTCAGTTAGCTCTCAAGGGTGCCTTCCCCTCCTCCCACCCCAGACACACCCTCTGCCAAACTGGGAACCAGCAGTGCTATGTAACTACCTCACAGAGCCGCAGAGGGACCGCCTGGGCTTCCCGAGTCACAAAGAAGCTGGCGCCTCTAGTCCGCCCTTTCCTCCCATCTCTCATCCAGGGCTGGGAGGTCTCCTCCTTTCTTTACCCTGAAGTGGTTATGGGGAGGTCCTAGTGGCTTTGACATTCAAACCATGCAACTGTTTCGCCTGTTTGTTGAAAATTGGTAGAAGGGAAACAGCACAATCTGACACAGTAATTGTAGGAAGATGGAAGAAAAATCCTCAATGCCAGGGGACATAAAGCCATTTCCCTTCCAAACGCTCGATGATTTAGATGCAGAACATTTCTCTTGTATTCAGACTTAGAGCAACACCAGCTGAAAACTTCAGTTTCTTTCCTTTGGATACATAAGGCTTCTCTTTCGAGGTGCAGGACAGGGAGGAGACCTCATGACCGAAGGTGGATTTTGAGGGTGAGGGCCGGAGCCCCAACCCTGACCCTCAGCCCTGTGCACCTCCTGGGGGGCACAATCTGATGGCACCACTACTGGTGTCTTAGTGTGGTTGAATCCGGACTGACAAGACAAAAGAAAAAGAATTTTTTTTTTCTTAAATGAAACAGCAGGAAGCTCTTTGGGAGCATGTGTTTTGAGTAACCACAGGTGATGGATGCTACGAGTATAAATGGATTAACTACCTCAATCCTTACAATAAGATTGGAACCAAGGGCAGGGACTCGTGCTTAAGGATGTGAATCCCAGCCAGGAGGAGTGAGTTGAGGCTTGTGCCACGAAAGGTTTATCCTTGAACAGGCAGGCCTGCCTGGATCCCCCACTCAGATGGATTGGGTGGGGAGGGCTGGCCATTAGGTCCCCCCATTCTGCCTTCCTTGCCCTGGGGTCCCTCCAGCTTGCCCCTCTCACCTGCGATACCTTTGTTAGACCAGAGGGGGAGGAGAGGAATTGCCTTCTCTCTTCTGCCAGAGGGGGCTGGCTGGAGGTGGAATCTGGGGCTTGGCCTAGAACCCACCACTCAGCCCCAAAGCCAGGAAGCCTGGGGAAGCAGACCTAAGACCTCTTCAACAGGGTTTCTTTGAGATGCTCCACCTCCACTATACCCGCTTCTCAGTCTTCACGGGGACAGTGGGCTCTAGAAGGAGAAAAGGTGGAGCCGGATCCTGTGTCCTGAGAGTCCAAGGCCCGGCCCTCTGGTCCTCTGGTCGCTCAGGCGTCTTTGTAGTCGGGGAGCTCCACTGGGCCGTCCCAGCCCCTCCCCACCCTCTAATGGACCTCCTCATAGAAGCCCCATTTCACTTTTGTTTTATCTACCTCTTAGCAAGACAATAGAGATAAATTAGGTAGTGGCAACTCCACTTGCTTAGGTTAGGGGGGGAAAAAGATTTCTTTTTCCAAAGGAAAAAAAATATTACCTTAAAAATACTTTCCAAAAAACTTAAAAAACCAAAAAAAAAAAAAAAAATTAAAAAAAAAAAGAGGGAGACATTTTCCAGTGACCACTGGATTATTTTAATTCCCCAAACTTTTCTCTTTTTTTCCCCCGTAAATAAGTTTGACTCTGGCGATTTTCTCTACTTGTTTAAGATGATGTGCTATTCTAACAGGTACACCTTTCACAGTCTGCCCCCTGGCTTGCCCCACCCCACGCCCCATTCCTGCCAACGAGTCCTGCCCGAGCTTGTCCCCCCACAAAGAACAAAGGCTTTGTGTGTGTTGGAGTGCTTAAGTCTTGACTAACCATTTCCCCCCCGTGGGGTTGGGGGGCCACTTGTAACACTTCTGTGCAAATTTTATGTAACCCACTGCAATGTAAAGGTGTTTGAGATGAATTTCAGCAGATAATGAGTTAGCATAACGAATAAACATCCTCTACACCGTTTGGACTCTCCCCTTTCTCTAGCATCTTGATCCTGGTTCCGGAAACCAAAATAAGTCAAAAGAGTCCCCTCCCCGAGGCAAAGTGAATTGGTATCCAGTCCTGAGACATCACTTACTCAGGATAGTGAAAATGTATTTTTATGAATGCGAATCATGGTGGGGGCTGGAGGGGGGATCTGTGCTGGTGGTGGTGCTACCCTCTTCTATAATTGCTGCCACTTT